CTGACCAGGCGTACACCATGGTCAACGAAAGAGCCGCTGGTACAAAGCAGTGGTGGAAAAAACCGACGGTATATACGCCAGTTTGTTGCTGGTTTTATTCACTATTGTAATATTTTTGCGATAGTTCAAAATAATGTCTCACATAGATAGTTTTGTATCTTCTTATATTCGAAAACAGTGTTGGCGTGGCTGTGACTGCTCGTTTAAAATGTCCACTCATACGACACCTTACTTACCAACACCTACCTATTGTCATATTTCTGGTGAATATTCGGCAATAAAATTTTCAGCGAAAAGTTTTATTGTCGTAATTCCGAAGGAATTTCTTCAGTTATGAAAAATCGACAATATTGTCGAGCTGCCGGTAGAATTTCGAAAATTTTCTAAATTCTATCGGAAATTCAATATTGCCGAAGAGCCGGTAGCAAAATTCCTATTGTCGAAATTCCGTATTGCCTTTTGACTTACTGTATGAGCTAAAGAAATTAACACGTTGCAACTCTTACATTGTCGAATTAACTGACCAGAAGTAAAGAGGACTATCATACTATTCTCCTAGGATTCAAACCAACAACATCAACCAAATGTATCAATGTCAAAAAATGGCGTCCACATAATTCAAGAGACAGAAACAAACAAGGTAATACATTATCCATTAAAATTAAGAAAGCATCACTTCCGAATCATCATTCCATGTACGTAAAACTGCCATTGCAGTATATATCAAGTCGTTAGATCATTTTTTTTGTAACTGACCCTTTGCTGAAAAATTCATATCGAAACTAAACTTTTCGTTTCTCGAAGCGAAAACAATCATTGGTGCTAACGATCTAAGTCGTAGTTTTCAAAATAGTTAAGGATACTGGGAACTCTGTTATTCTGTCGAATTATGAATTTTACAGGGTGCCCAGACAAGAAAGTTTCCCAGACGATCCTCGCCGTCCAAATCTTCGCATGCTGAGCCAATGGAAACGCAACAACCTATCCGCATCAATATATGTGCAAGCCCTTCGACCAGTCATGCGTGCCAAATAACAACTATGCTGGACACAGATACCTTCGCGACTCTAAAAGCCAAAATCATCGAAATATTCGCATTAAGCCATTGTTCCAAGGACATCTGTTTATTGTACGCTTCGTCTCATTCGGATAATATTCAGTGGAAGACACTGACAAACGAAGAAGAAAATCGAACTCTGGCCGAATTTTCGATTGTCGATGGGTACATAGTGACATGTATGCCTTCTAAATGCCTTGAAAAAGAGTCGATACGTGCTTCATGCGATGTACAGCAACCAGATTGTCTTACAGACCAGTATAACATTTATCCTCTTCCTGGTCTGCAAAATTTGGGCAATACGTGTTTCATGAACAGTGCATTGCAATGTCTCAATCACGTTGAATCGTTTTTCAATTATTTTCGCGACACAAAAATCAAGACTTTGTTAAATAGCGAAAACATTGACAAAGAAAAAAATTCGATATTGACTCAACTGTATAGCAAACTCATTGAGTCTTTGTGTTCGCAGCATGATGGAGTCGTTATACCTGTCGAATTTCGTATAGAATTCGGACGATTAGCACCGCGTTTCTTCAATTATCGTCAACATGATTCACTCGAATTTATGAATATCTTACTCGATATTTTGCACGAAGATTTAATGCGAATTTTAAAACAAAATCGTACGATCGTTTCGAAAACTTTTCATGGACAAATTCGAACAGTGGTCAGATGTCAAACATGTCACCAAGATTTAACAACCGATGATTCTTTCAGCTTTCTTCCTCTGCCAATACCCGAAGAAAACAAGAATGTAGAAAATTCACCTACGCGTAGCTACAAACTCGATCAGTGTTTTCAAACATTTTTCCAAGGCGAGCATATTGGAAATCATGGGCAATGGCATTGTGAGCATTGTGATAAACTAACCCATGCAAACAAAAACTTGTATCTGCGCGAGTTGCCTCCAGTGCTCATTCTTCAATTAAAACGTTTTAATTACGATCTTCAATCGTACGTAAAAAACAATACTTTAATTGAATATGACCTGGATAATCTAGATTTAAACGACCATGTTGTTGAATCGCATCGAGACACGAGTATTCGATACAATCTGATTGCTGTTTCCAATCATTGGGGTAGTCTCAACGGAGGACACTTTGTGACCTATGCAAAACTTCCCGGAACTCAAGATTGGTACAAATATAATGACAATCGAGTCGGTAAAGTGGATAAAAATGTGCATGTCAACAATAATAGTGCATACATTCTTGTCTACCAGCAAGAAGAAAAAGATTCTATTCTTGGTACTGCTGTGTAACTGAAATTGAAAAGAAAACGACATTTTTGATATGATAAAAATCTTATTGCTCTAAGGTTTTGTGAAGTTCTTCCATTTTATCTCTATGTATATGCATATTCTTCGTATTATATGGTCATTTTATGTCAGCAGGAGTTGACAAAATGATTGAGCAATCTTGAGTGACGCTACATCTTTTTTTCTTCAGAAAAGTTGTCAAAGCTATGTTTTCAATTCTAGATATACGTCTTTATCTAAAAAGAAAAGTAAGCAGATCAAAACTTCTCACGGTACGTATACTTTATTCATGCATTGCAGTTGCTCTTTTCTTTTCGTTTTGATCCAATAATTCTTTTTTTCGTGTTTATTACAACTGAGAAAGAGACTGACAGAGAAAAAAACGAACAAATTAGGTTTTACTGGGATATGAACAACGATTAAATACGAAAAATTTGCTTTTCATTTTATAAAGTGGCAATGCGAGGGAAAATGCTGAATTCCTGTCGTTTCACTTCAGCGCATAATTCCTTTATACTGCTTGGTTCCTTGTAACACTGTTCTTTGGGAGCCAAACATAAGAAGCAAAATGTATGTTTACAAATGACACACTGATGGTACTTGCATTTACCATCATAACCCCCGACATTGAAGCATTTTGGACAAATGCGACTGTTTGGAATATTAATTGCTTTGTTTTGAGCGTAAGGAATCAAATCGTAGTTCAATTTTATCTCATAGTCACAGTTAACTCCACATGCGTAGCGTTCGTTATGTCGAGGCTCTGGACCATCCTTCCAGTCTTTGTTGCAGAAAAAACAGAATGTACGTTGACAATGTTTGCATGTTTGCTGAGCGAAGAGAGTCTCATTGACGAGTAGTGAACCACAGTGACAAATTTGACAGTCAATATGTTTCATCAATCCACGAATTTCGTTTAACGACTCGAGTGAACGAATGAAATCAGATGATACAAAAAATTGCGCATAGGGGATCTTTTGTGGGCATACCATGCACTTAACTAGAAGATCATGCTCTTTAAAGTAGCGAGGAAAGCATGTCATACAGATGGCAGTGCAACAGATTTTCATACACGGTTTCTCGTCGAGGCAGACGACACATTCGGCCGGATGCATGCGGAGTTTCGGAAGTTCTTTGGGCAACTCTTGGATGATGATATCGATGAGAATCGCTGCTTCGACATATCCACCACCATTCATTCGCCGCAACAGAAAAATAGTTGTTCCATTCTTGATTAGATGTTTCCGTTTGGCAAATTCATCCTTGTTGTCCAGACACAAATCTTTATTGTTGGCAACGAAACGATAGTGTTCCACAGCAGCACCATCGATTTTGTCGACGAGAAGGTTCTTGAAATCATCGAAGGTGAAATTGTCCGGTAATTGAGTTTGAATCGTTTTACCGACGATGTTGGTAAAGGCAACGTTGATAACCATGATTGTGTAAAGAAATGATGTGTTGCGATCGTTGAGAAAAGATAAAATGATTGTGTCTTGGGAAAAATCCCAGCATTAGTCATTTTCCTACTTTGTCACAGGAAGACAAAGGGGAGAAGGTTTTTTCCAACATGCATTCGTTCTTCATTGTTATTACACAATTATTGTGCATGTGCCAGTTTCTCAGTTGAAGACAAAGTGAAATAAAAAGAACCTTTTGCTTCCGCAGATAGATTAGGAGTAGAATGAATTAGTTGAATTACTGACTGAGAATCGAAGAAACAAGCCAAAATGCGTGAGTAAGAATCTTTTTTTTTGTCAATACGATGATTCATCAGAATTTCAGCTATTGTGTAGCCGAAGATGTCATCCATCTACAGAACATATTTTGAAAATTTGAGATTTTACCTTCTCAAGAAATCTGGGAAAGATTGATAGTGCACTGAAAAACTTATTTTTTTCTCTTTGATAGAGTCAACCACTAGAACAATTTATGGATTCAAATGGAGCCAATAGTCTGGGAAAAACGGTTTGGAATTGTTTTACCAGTAATTATCTAATAGAGTATTCATTTCCGGTGATTGCTATTATTATATTAATAATTTTCGTTACAGCCATTATAAGCACCAAACAATGTTTTCGTTCACATTCTATCGTTGCTGTGTGCTCTAAACGATTTCAGCCTGCCTGTCGCATTATTTTGCCAGACATCCATCAAACATCTATATCGACGAGTCGTCAGACTCTCCCTGTTACGAATTTACACGGAGCAGTCATTGACACACCGGCTGCAATTTCATCACCAACGCAATCACAAAATACAATCAACGCAGCAGAATGTGATCCACTTTTGTATAATATTTTTCAGCGTGTAATAGATTCTATCAAACACTATCAAAAACAGCAAGAATCTGGCGGATGTGGTCTTGAAAATCGCGGGCATTCATGCTATATCAATAGTGCTCTCCAATGCCTTTGTCATATTCGTCCATTCGTTGAAATTATACTCAATCTTCCAGAGCAACAATCATCTCAGTTGCCACCGATCACATCAGCATATCGTCGACTGTTAATTGAAATGCAATCGATTTTGGAAGGTTCTACTAGTGCACATGAAGTGAAAACTTGTATTAGCGAGTTAAACCGACGTTTTGCTGGAACTGATGAACAAGATAGCCATGAATTTCTAACTGTACTGATTGAAGCTCTTCATGATGAATTGATGGATAATTACCAGAACTCATCCATAGGTGACCTTATGCATGGTACCATTAGATCGACTGTCAAATGTCTTGTTTGTGAGGAAGAAACCAATACAGACGATTCATTTTTATCTCTTCCACTGCCCATCTATCGATCAGCTGCCGCAAGTTTTGGATTCGACACAATCAAGAACATACTTGCGAAGTCAATGGCTCTTTTTAGTTATGCTATGCAAACTGACCCTACTCTTTATGACTGTTTTGAAAACCTACTAGCAATGGAACAATTAGGTCCAAACGGACAGTGGTTTTGTCAAAATTGTCAGAAACCAACCGATGCAATTAAGAAACTAGATTTATTTCAACTACCAAGAGTATTGATTCTTCAGTTGAAACGATTCACATATGATCTCACGGATGACACGAAAATTACGACAAAAATTCATGTTCAAGAGGTTCTTGACCTGGGACAATTTCTTAAAAAAAATGACATGACTCAGCATGCTATATACGATCTTGTGGCTGTTTTGACACATACAGGAACACTTGCTAGCGGTCATTATATGACTTTTGCTCGACATCTAAGCAACTCCGGTTGGCATCATTTTAACGACCAGCATGTTCGTCAAGCGTCCTTGAGTGAGGTCTTGACATCAGATACATATGTTCTTGTTTATGAGCGCCAACATTTACGTCTTAGTTCATGATCATCTGTCATTTCTTTTTTAATTTTCTGTTGTTTTGTTCATAATTAAGATGCTACAAACAGTTCATGTTGAGTGCCAGAGAACAATAAACTTACTGAGTTATATTCGATGTATTGACTTCAAACTTACGGATGTGGAGCATGCAGAATAGTTTTATGAACGAATTGAGAACTAATAGTATCTAGCGAGAGGTGGTGTAGCCATCAGAAAAATAGAAAATTGCCAGTTAAAATGAGATCTTGCTTTCTGAAAGTTTTATTTAACGCTTGATCATTTCTATTTTCATCTGCAATGAATATCTTAATAAGAACGACCTTATTTAGATTGGAAGTTTTGAAGCATTATCATGGTCGTTAGATCGAGTTTAAGCTCCAATGAGATTATACAACTGAGGTGAATTTTTCATAAGTAGCTCTCAATGTGATCATGGTTTCAGTTTTGTACAAATTTCATCATCTATTAAACAGAAAAAAGATAAACCACAATAGATCCATTTGCCCAATAATTTACACTTTGTTCTTTTCTCGATTCTCATAGAGCAAGTCTTTCTTTTATTTATTATAAGGATGAATGGTAGTGATACAGAAAACAAGATAGCATCGATTAAACAATTTACAAATCGACCATAGGATTTTCAAAAGATGAAGCTAAGCATGAATTTTTCGAGCATTGAAAAGCTCGCTGATTTTTACGAGCCGCCGAATATCGTTCTGAAGATTTGTGCATAAAATGAACGAATACTTGGTGATCGTCGGGACGTATGACTTTCCTCGTTTTCAATCTTTGATCCCACAATATGTGGAAATACAGTAAATTCGTGTCGCTTCATTTCGGCACACTGGATATCAATATTTGTGAAACAATGGCCTTTAGGCTTCAAACAAAAGAAGCAAAATTCATAATCACAAACAGCACACGTATGGAACTTGCACTTTCCATCATAACCACCGGTATTGAAACATTTCGGACATACTCGACTATTAGGAATATGAAGTTCCTTGTTGTACTAGTAAGGAACCAAATCGTAGTTTAATTTCATATCATAGTCACAATTGACTCCACATGTGTAGCGTTCGTTACTTCTTCTGATGGGATCAGTTTCCCAATCCTTGTTGCAGAAAAAGCAGAACGTACGTTGACAATTATGACATGTTTGTTGAGTGTAGAGTGTCTCGTTCACAAGTAGTGAACCGCAGTGACAAATTTGACAGTCGACATGTTTCATCAATCCACGAATTTCGATTAACGACTCAAGTGAACGAATGAAATCAGGTGATACAAAGAATTCTGCATAGGAAATTTCTTTGTGGCATAGTGTGCACTTCACTTTAAGATCGTGGCTTTTGAAGTACAGAGGAAAGCAGTCGGCATCGGTGCAGATAAAACTGCAGCAGAGTTTCACACATGATTTCTCGTCGAGGCAGGTGATACACTTGTTTGAGCTCTTTTCTAACTTTATAAGTTCTTTGGGCAATTCCTGGATGATGATGTCGATGAGAATAGCTGCTTCGACATATCCACCACCGTTCATTCGCCGCAACAGAAAAATAGTTGNATCGTGGCTTTTGAAGTACAGAGGAAAGCAGTCGGCATCGGTGCAGATAAAACTGCAGCAGAGTTTCACACATGATTTCTCGTCGAGGCAGGTGATACACTTGTTTGAGCTCTTTTCTAACTTTATAAGTTCTTTGGGCAATTCCTGGATGATGATGTCGATGAGAATAGCTGCTTCGACATATCCACCACCGTTCATTCGCCGCAACAGAAAAATAGTTGTTCCATTTTTGATTAGATGTTTCCGTTTGGCAAATTCATCCTTATTGTCCAGACACAAATCTTTATTGTTGGCAACGAAACGATAGTGTTCCACAGCAGTACCATCGATTTTGTCGACGACAACGTTCTTGAAATCATCGAAGGTGAAATTGTCTGGTAATTGAGTTTGAATCGTTTTACCCACGATGTTGGTAAAGGCAACATTAATAACCATGATTGTCTAAAGAAATGTTGTGTTGCGAACGTTGAGACAAGATAAAATCGTTGTGTGTTGGGAAAATTCCCAGCATTAGTCATTTTTCTACTTTGTGACAGTAAGAAAAAAAGCACGAAGGTTTTTTCCAACATGCATTCGTGCTGCATTGTTATTTGTTCACACAACTGGGTAAAAAACAAATGGAGAAAACGAATAGTGTGCTTATGAAGATTACTTCTAAACAGAATGCATCGACTGCGCTGTTGATCGAGGGCTGAAGAACGGTAAATGTGTGTTCGTCTTGCGAGTAACACGAAAGAAAGAGAATCGATAGAGTGAGTGAAGTTTATTGTTGGGTGTGGATGTGATGAACTTTGTGTGTGTTGTGAATAGTATTGTAGAATAAAGAAAGAAGAATGAAGTTAATGAAAACGATGAACCATCGAGAGGAGGATGAAGATCATTAAAGGAGAGGGCAGAGAAAATAACAGAGATTTTTCTTCTTTTTTTCGGGGGGAGGGGGGTTGTTGGTATTTTAAACTGCTCGCATAAATGGGGATAAACAGGTCGAAAGAAGGTGAAGCGAGGAGAAAAAGAAAAGAGTGAAGCGCGAAGGTAAAGAAAACAAAAATTAACTAAAAGTGATGAATGGGACTGATTTGCTGATAAGTGATCGTGTGTTCAAGAAAATAAGTTGACGCATATAGACGTTGAAGAACACGATACGAACGACCGCGTCACGAATTGAGCTCTTAGTTACGCCATTTACCCACCGCAATGCCAGAGAAAGCAGTAACTCAAACAAGATCGCCGGATTTATATTGAAGAGAACGACGATTTCGGTTGTATTGACGGGCTTGTTGTTGATGAGGGTGTGTGTGTGCATATGAAGAGAAAACCAACAAAACACTCGGATCCTAATCGAATCTTAACATATGTCACCTGTTGGATATTGTCGGACAGTCTAGGATCCGACCGGATGACTTCAATCTCGCATGGTATGACTCGAAAACTATAAGGTATTAAAAGTATAACTGAAAAAATGGCATATTCAAAAGACAAAAATAAATGAAGAAGAACATTCTTTATGCATTAACATATTTGAATGTGTTCCATTAGAATACACTTATTTATTTTAAATAATTTATCAAAAACAATATAATAATCTTTTGGATGAATGCTTCAATCAGCAAACATTAGTGAATGATTTGACGGAGATTCAATGAATCTTTTCCGATAATAGAATGCTTGAGATGATGATATATAGATTGACTGTATAGTCCTTTTTACAATGGTATCGTTGCATGCACTGAATAAATCAACTCTTTTCTTATTGTAATTTCTATCGAAGAATGAATATGATGACAAGTAGCTTTTGAGAACCATCAATAGGGTATGTCAGAAAAATAAACGTTGATATTTTTATTTTATACCTTCAAATTTCGCCTGACAATATCGGTTTTGTGAGTGTTAAGTTAACGAAGCATGATTCCATTCGGTAGCCCTCTTAGTCTAACAAGAGAATGTTTTCAACTGACCGATCGCTTTTTTTCATCGAAAGCTAGCGGATTGTCGGTTATCGTCTATATTGATCCTGAATATAGGCATAAGAGACCCACTTAGGTCTTTATATACCAGTGTTTTAAGCTAACAAATGTTGTACAAAAAAAAACTTTGATTAGCTCAGATTATAGAACATATTGAATTGCCTTGAAAACAGTCAGTTTTTCTGTTTCAAATCGTGTCTTTTGCAGAAAATGTAACCACTTTTATTCATACCACGAGCCCATATCAACATTTCATTGTGAAAATCTTCAAGATGATATTATTTGACTTAAAACTCATATTTGGAAAACAGAAAAACTTATTTTCTTCTACACAATTCAATATGCTCTATTATCTGAACAGATCAAAAATTGTTTGGCAAAAAGTGTGTTAGCCTAGAAAATCAACGTATAAGATCGTATAAACTCAATAGTTGACAGTATGTGTATTGGCTAACCAATGAAGACATTTTCTTGATCTTCAATTTGAAACAACAATCGAACGTTGTATGTGCCTGAACTATCCTGGAAATTCTTGACAATTAAGAGGCTATTGTTAATTCTTTGATTTATTTATACGTTAATATCATAGTGTACACTAGCTGCTTTTATGATTTTTTTTCTAATTGGCAATCGATCAGAATAAAGTTTTGCTATTAACAATCGCTTTCTTTTAAAATTGGCCATTAGTCATTTTGTGTCTGTTCGTTGAATTTTTCATGCCATTATGGAATATTTTTTTTTGGTGAAACACGATTGTCAAGGACTATAAATGGATTAGAAAAAAACAAGGATGCTCTCTTCGTCTATACTCCTTTTCCTCAACGATACTAACATCTATCCATGACAGGTAAATGGGAGTAGTCTAATAGTGCTTCACAATTCAATTGATGAATAGTATATCAAGCCTTTCAAAAAGCATATGATTCCTTTTTAATCATGTAAGCTTTGCATCCATCGATTTGACATCGTACGTAGAGAAATGAAAAGCAGAAAGGTAAGTGCACATATTTTTAAGTTATATTCTTATGTCAATAGTTACTCTTATCATAATAACTATTTTAGAAGAGCAAAATAGTCTTATCTAAGATGTCAAATACGAGAGAGAAATAAGGTATAGATTTTTATAGCATTATTTATTGATTAATAACGGTAAATGTTCCTTGATTGCATTCATTCTTTATCACGATCTGAAAACGAGTTCAAAACTTACAATGTATAATAGATCGATATGGTCGACAGTAGATCACTGGCAGAAATATTGGTCCAAGAGAGCTGCCACGATAATAGCTGTTCTGCAGGTACTTCTGACTTGGCCGACCCTTGGAGTACACATTGCTAGTTTCATCATTGGCAATGCTACTCTTCACAAAGACGTCAATTCAAGATACACTTTCGGTTTCATTTGTCCGTCCTTCTTCATATCGAGCTGGATTTCAATAGTCTGTCTAGGTGAGAACATTATTATCATTGGACGAGCACAT